ATGGTGGAGCTAGGTCTACATACTCATCAAAATCAGAAATGCCAACATATCATTGATAATAAATATTATGCCATATATATTTATGTGCAAATATACCAAATCTATAAATTTTATTAATTTATATTATATATAACTATTAGTGCCACTAATCTTATGTAGAATGAGCATTTGCTCCTAAGAGAGATAAAGAGTTTGATAATTGCTTGAGGGTGGTCCTCAAGTACATCTTAGCAATCAAATTTTGTGGCAATAAGGATTTATGTGAATTATACAATTAAGAAGACAGAAAGACAACAAATGACTGCAATAATTCAAGATTTGAATGCTCGCATGAATGCATGCTAAAATAGAAGCAATACACAAGCAATAATAAAAGATTCAAAAACTTGTGTTGCTCCTTCTTCTTATGGTATTCATTTAACTACTATATTTAGTTAAGTATAGAGGGGGGGAGAAACTAAAAAATAAGAAGTGAAAAAGGATAAAGATAAATAAAGAAAGGAGTAAAATTGAGAATATTTTTAATTTATATTTTTTAATATAATTTTGTAATTATTTCTTTTTTGCGGTGTGTGGGTATATTTTATATATATATTCAAGTTTTTAATATTATATTGTTATATATTTTTTTATGTAATATTTAAAATTTATTGAGGGTAACATAGACAATTAATTTTGATGTGTCATCAAGAAATTTTTATCATCGGACATGAATCTCGTTGCATGTTGAGCAAGAAACAATCCAAATTCAAATTCAAGATCACTCGTGCCTTAATTTCAATAAGGTTATAGTCAAATTGATCATCTCGACATGACATACCCAATGACACTAAAATTGATCAAATTTGAGTCCAAATAAGCCCATATGAAACACTTGAACTGTTGTCAAAACATTTATTGCAACAATTGGAAGGCTATATAATCTCTAAATTTAGCGTGCTTCAAGTCAAAATTAAGTGGCTCGATGATAAAAATCCATGAGCCCAAGATCATCCAATTTTAAGGTCATAAGGTACTTAAATACAAAAACAAAAAAAAAATATGATCAAGGGAACTATTTTGGACCATTTGATGAAAAGTTTGAGATCCTAGCTAATTTTACTGAAATGCCCCTCTCAAAAATTATAAATAGGCCCCCCATTAAGGGAATGGGAAAGTAAGAAGTGAGCTGACAACTAGAGCAAAATTTTTAATTAGCAACCACCAGTCATAGTCAACTACCACTAGTAATTATTGTTGCCAACTACGACTATTGTAGCCACCAATTACAACTTTTGTAGTCCATTATTGATATTATATCCACCAATTTCAATTTTTGTATCCCAATTATGATAGTTATAGCCAAACTACTATTATATATCAATAATTGACAGTTGTTATAATATAATCTTCCCTAATTTAAGAGAATAATGAATCTTTGTTGTTGAGTCCTAAAGTGTCCAGTGATTCACACTCAAGGAATAGAGCATACTAGGAGAAGGGAGTGAGAGAGGTAGGAGAGGTGAACAATAGAAAATTTCTTTCAATTGGGGCTGATCTAACACTATCTTGGTAATGTGAAGCCTCACCCCTTTCTTCTATTGGTTCGAATTTTTGAACCTTGGGTACCATTTCATCTCGCCTATCATTGGTCGCTATTCCATCCCGTGAGTTTTCTCTCTATGGGTTTTTACTTCCTCCGACCAGTGCTTCTTGAAAAGTGTCTATCATCTTCTCTCTCTCTTTTTTAACATCAGTTGTTATTTCATCTCCATTAGTTGTTGTCACACAATCTCCCTTCTACCATCTACACCGACTGCTTGGTTTCGTGCTTCTATTTTAACGATAGTCTTTTCTCTGTGTTGTGCTCCTCTTCTTGTTGATGGCATATTTTCACGATAACCACACCTTTTAGGACATTGAATTCTAAAGTGTCCCGGGAATTGCACCCAAGGAATAGAACATATGAGGAGAATGGAGTGAGAGAGAGAGAGGTGAACAATAGAAAATGAGAGCATCTGAAGCCTTTTTTATAAAATGAACTCTTATTTATAGGTATAGAAGATACCAAAGTATATAATTTGTGTAAATACAATAATATTAAATTTCTTGGCTTATTATGATGACTTTCAGTTGTTAGCACATGCTCAACTGTTTGGTCATGACGGGCCGAGTCGTGTGTTGATGATGTGAAGACTCCTCGATCGAGTTTATTTATGACCTTTCCTCAGTCTTCGACATGTCTTCCTCATTTGCTCGATGATGGGCGGTCTTTCATTTAGCCTTATGCAGAACCATCCTGCATACAGTTAGATGTACAACTGCCCTTCATTCGACCATGTACCCAGCTACTTTTGGTCTAGCTTGTTATGTTGGTCGACTTGACCACTGAGGAGAGTGACTTATCGGAACGTTGAGATACTTCTCTCTTGACTAAATATTAATTTTTGCTCCAATAAGTAAATCAGTGTTTGATAGAATCTTTGTATATCTTGACTGTGGGCCCCTCCTATCTGTGTCTCCATTTTTCTTCGAGATTCGTGCTATCGTGATCCTTTCATACATCAATTCTTTTATTTTCATAGTGGATTACTTTTATTATGTTAGACCCCGTATTTTTTTCCTTTATAGGGCTTTTTCATGAAAAAAATTTTGTTTCCTCGTACATTTATATTTATAACTTTTTCCCTTACAAGGATTTTTTCATGTAAAAAATCCAGTTCTCTTACAGTTCTATGTGTGTGGGCTGAAAAATTATATTGAGTTAAAGCTCAAGATTTCTTAGTTACTGAATTTTTTTAATACAAAATAAATTTTATCGTTGAGATGCTAACCATTTTTTTCAAAAATTTTGATATACATTTCCTACAAAAATTCATTGATAACTAATGCTAAAAAAAGTGATCTGAAATCTATCAAACCAAACTAAAAAAAGTTTGTATAAAATATTCTATCAATAATCCTGAATCTTGTTATCAATCTGATTCGGATGTCCCACCATCAACATTAATCCTATAGATCATCTTAACGACAAAGGGTGACACATCATCATCATCAATTCTGACACTCATCAATATCTTTGCTAAAGTGCACTATCATCAACAATTTTGATGCTCATATTAGTGACGAAGGCAACACCACCATTGATGCCAACTATGACACCTGTTATTAGTAGAACGATTGATGCACACCATTAACACCAAAGGGATGCATAATGTCACTAATAATGTTAATATCCGTTATCAACATTAATGTTGATGCTCATTATTATCATTGAAGTTGAGATTAACATCCAACAACCCTAATGATTGTTAAAAAAAAAGTCAACACCCAAAATCAACATTTATATCAACATTTACCATCAATATCAACATCAACAATCATCATCATCATCAAATGTTATCCTCAGTATCACCAATAACAACGATACTTACAGTCACCAACAGGGCTAATACTGTCTATCATCAACAACAACAACGTGAATTTTCACCAATAAGATAGATGCTATAGCCGGCATCACCATTGCGGACATGCATCATTGCCGACGCCCTCCTATAAGCACAACTTTGCAAACCATTAATCATACCTTAGTGGTGACTTTAATGCTTCTCCTACTTCTATCAAAAAATCCTATCATTTATATATAAGTCATATATATAACTAATTAGTGTAATCATTTTGATTGAAGCAGACTCAAAATTTTGCTCATTTGAAAATTTTTACATAAATGTGTCGAATTTATAAGTCGTGTTGTGTTCGACAATCGTTTATACATCGTTCTTTTGAGATCTCAAAGCATAAAGAGCGAACACTTATGAAGGCATGTTGTGATAAAATTGGTGCATGGGCTGCGTCAGCACTTTCATAAATAAGAGTATCTTGCAATATTTCTCTTTGCCGTTTTAAGAAAGAATCAAAACCCTTTCAAACACGAGAAATTTTTTCATTTGAACGGCCAATCATCAGCGGCCACATCATCATACACTTCATTAGCAGACAACATGACCGTCAATGATTAGTTGTCTAGACATGCGGACATCATGACAAAATGTTTTTCCTTCAAACAAAGCCTAATTTCATAAGATTTGAGATTTCGTTATAATAATAATAAATTTAATAATTTTTTATATAATTTAGATAATTTTATAATTTTATCTGAATATATTTACTTACAGAATACTTAAAAAAAATTAAACATTTGATGATTTTACCATCGGTGAGAACCAAACAAATTTTGGGGCATTTACAAACATAGCACCCAGTTCCTATCTATTTACATATATAACAACTAAAATTTAACTTTTACATTTTTTCAACCCAAATTTTTCTCATCACATCTAAAAATAACATTATCATTTTAACTTTCACATAGTTAAATACACCTTCATGCATATGTAAGGCATATGTAAGGTGAAATGCATTTATGTTAGATATGCAAATGCATATGAATTCTGATGCATGCAAATCATTTGAAACTTAACAGTATAATTGAAGTACTAATATCAATTAGAAAAGACTATTTTTAATAAATAATATAGCTGATGACATAAAAATTTTGCATTTCTAGCCATTAAAATTAATATAATCTGAATAACATCTCATTTTTTCTTATAATAAAACTCAGTCATCTCAATAATGAGAGATAACATCAACAAATATTTATGATGAATCCAAAATTGCAGAGTTTCTTAAATAACATAACAAATAATTCAATTTTTACATAAAAATATATGTTTTGAATTTTAAATTGTCATAAACAAAATAACCGTACAAGTCCAATTACTGTCTGCCACGTGTATAGTCTGGTTCCACCGTGTATTAAATTAGTTAGTTTTTTTTACCAATGTAGTCCAGATTGTACGTGTGAGAGGCAGCGATTGGAGTCCTAATGCACTAGTTTTTGCATCAAAAGAAGCAAAACAAGAACAAGTTTTATAAAACAAACAACATATTTTCCAGTACAAGGAATATAGCACAAAATAATAATAATAATAATAATAATAATAATAGAAAATTCAGGAGTCATTTATCTTCTTTTAAATAAAGAATACAAATTCTTATAGCCTGCTAACAAGGACTATTCAGACATTAATGTAAGGCAATTGTTAACAACTCTGTCAGCAGTTCAACAAAGCTAACTGCAAAGAAACCCAGAATTCTGCTCTCTTCATAGCTCCTCTCACTATGGCTTCTCCTTCCAACACTGTTTGGAAAATTTTATATGTATAGCTTTAACAAGCCTGCTTCAAGAACAATAATTAACAGAAAAATTCAGTGAATGTCTTCGATTTTGGCAGAAAAAGCATTCCAAACCGCCAATAAGTCAAAGAAGAATGCATGATTGACACAATTTTCAAAGCATTTGGATGATGAGTTGGATTGATTTGTACATTCAGGCTTTGTTTAGACTTTAGAATGGAAGAAAAAGAGGGGAAATTAAATGAAATGCAACTAGTTATGAATTGAGAATTATTGATTTGAGATTTTTTAACCCAAGTTTCTTCTTTTTTTCTCACTGAAATTTCCAGAATTCACATAGAACTATAGTAAATGTGAGTGTAAAGAAGAAAATGTGAAAAATTAAGACAATAAAAGGTTAAGAATGATTAGATTTTAGAGATGGTGGGAATAACATGTACTAAGTATGAGAAAGTGAACATTAGAATTATATGATTTATGAATTGTACATACAACAAATAGCATGAATATCACTGCTAAAAGTTGAACAAAAAATAGCACTGCTAAAAGTTGAACAAAATTGAGTTAACATTTCATGTAACAACGCCAGGAAGAAAAAAACGGAGAAAGGCGAGTCTTAACAGTTGCCCCAAACAGTTTTGTTGCAAACAACATTACTTAACAATGACAGAATGGTTATTTATCCACAAACAGCTACAAATCAGTTGTTTTCAAACAGCTTTCCCAAACAGTCAACCAGCTTATCCGGATAAGCTGCTGATCAGCAGATTATCAAGATAAACTGGTTATTAGCAGATTATTCAATAAGTTGCAGCTGCCCCAAACAGTCCCTAGCCTACACAAAAAAGAAGGGCTAATAATAATTTGATGATAATTAATGAGCAGCAGAAAGAAGAAACCATCTAAACAAACAACTTATGGCCTCCTTAAAAGAAATAATAAATAATAATAAAATTTGTCTCCTTCAAATTAATTCCATTCACATAAAAGCCATGCTGAGTAAAAATTAGTTCAATCAAAAGGCACTCACCATTTATGGGTGTAATAAATCATCCATGGTATCAACATTCACAACTAAACATCCTCCAACAGGCTCCATATCATACTGCGTGTCAATACAATAAAGCTCATATTAGCTCAATCTTGGAAAATGTTCAATATTACAAAAAAATAAAGTAGCATTTACATTCATACCACAGAATTCTCATGTATTTACATATCTGAAACCTAAACTTTAGTATTTACATTCACAATACTCAAATCTTTAACAGCATATCAAAAATCACTTTTATTACTTTTTTAAAAGTCAAATACACCTTTCTACATATAGATTCATGATACTAAGGTGTTACAAATTCTATATCAAACTTCAGACGTTAGATATGTAAAATTCATAAAAATTGTGTGGTACGCATGTAAACTTCCCAAAAATAAATTGAGCATATATCTACCAGAATAAAGATAGAAAAAGAAGGACGACAAGATAGATAAGCTTGATGAGACGGCACTTCTTCTCGTTGTTGAGCTGATTAAAGATCTCAGTTACGTCTACTAGATGCTTGCGCCGCTGGTATCTGAAAGTAAACAGCCATTCATATGAGACCATTTTATCAATGAATTATGCATGCAGTATTTGTTTTATGGGGCACTTACAAACATATATCTAACACATTTTATAACACCCAAATATTTCACATTACATAAAAAATGCCATCATTTTAACTTTTAAAAAGTGAAATACACCGAGTTATGATTAAGTAAGATGGTATGTATGTAAAATTTGAAGTTTACGTGTTAGATATGTCGTGTTAGATATGTAAATACATAAGAATTGAGAGGTATGTATTTAAATCTTCCTCCTTTTATTTGATGCAGAATCTGGTGGAATCAAAAAAAGTAGTCAGCGGCTCTACCCTTATTATATCTGAGAAAAATTTAGCGTAATCAGCATAATATGAAAGTTTTGCTCTTAAAATCTCCTACAATTATGTATATTATAAACTCTTTGATGGTCATATATGGGCAAGCCCTTCTATCCCCACTCACTTTAAATCCTAATTTTGACACTGCGTAGAGAGAAACTACAACATGGATTGCAAGAAAAGAATATTAATTCAGCACACAGCAAAAATTTAACAATTGGAATGAAAGATATGGACGCCTCAACTTGGATGTCCTTTGTACACAGATAAACCTGGTAATATTAATTCATGTATTCCAATATGAGAAGATGCAAAAAGAATAAGTCGTTTTCAAAAACCATCTCATAAAAAAAATTTTATATCAGCCAAGCTTCAGCCGCATGTTAAATTCAATAATTATTCTTTTTAGAATCTTGTATACAAAAACTTATTATTAGAGTTAAAATAAAAAAATGATTGCAAATGACCATCACTAGAAGATGCTCAATAAATTAAATTTTCATCTCTTTGAAAGCCTGATTTGCAGAAAGTGCCTGACGTGGGGCTCTCACATGCAAACAAAGGGCGAACGAGGGGCTCTCAAATGCCAGACCCGAAGGAGGGTTGAACTGTGCAGTTCAGCAAAGAGCCAGTCCAGCGGCCGTCCAATCTATTGAGTCGGATAGGGCAGACCTGTTCTTATCCTACGGCTCCTCCTTTCTCTTCTGATTTTGATACTTGCCTTCTTCGTTACCACCAGTCCCTCCCTGCCTTTTCTATTTGCCACCCAAAGAGGAATGGCCTCCCTTCCTATCCTAGCATATATATATATATATGCTGTTTTTTCTTGCTTCTGGTAAGTTTTTTAATATTTCATATTTCAGTTTTCTGCCTTTGAGGCGCTTCTCCCTTATGAGAGCTGTATTCGACGAAGAGGTGCTATGATTGTAAGTTGTCCAAAGTGGTGACCGTCTCCAAGATTTCGGGTGGAGCTCCGGCTGTTGCTCGACCCCGCCGAGATATTTATCCTTTCAACTCCCTTCCTCTGCTTTCCTGCCACCAGTCCTAAGCCCCTTTCCATGCTGCTGCCACAGGCCAAACGAGAACCCCACCTACTGCTGTAACACTTCTCTGACATCCAAGCCTGCTGCCACCTGTCTTCGGTCTTCCAGCCAGCCGCCGCCGCCGCCATTACCCCTGCTGCAGCCGGCTCTCGGTTCTGTCTTCCGGCCCCCGTACTCGCAGCATCCAACAAGCCCATTCAACTACTATCCAGCCACCTAGCCATGCCATTGGCCTGCTCTTTTGTGTTTGTTTGTAGTTTCTTTCCTGTTGTGACGAGTCTTCGTTGTACCCGTTGAATTTATGCAATAATATTTCAACGTTCTATTATGGTTTGAGTTAATTTCAATATCAATGCCCATTTGGCGGAATGCATGACAACCAAACTCCATCCACTTTTGAATTATTTGATTTCTTGATGAAAGTATCTCGCTCCAACAGATGCTACGGAAACAAGGCGAAAAAAATCTCCAATTACTTTGTCAGGTTTTTAACTATTTTGAATTTTAATGGCATTTTGAGATCATTTTTATTTTTTTAATTTTTTAATTTTATTTTGTTTATATTTTATTTTGAGGAGAAAATGGTGCAAATAGTTTTTCTCAAAACACTCAAAACATCTAAAAAGTATTTTTGAGCAATTAAAAAAATGATTTATTTTTAAAAAAACATGCAAATTAGTACGCGAAACAAACATATTTTCGAAAAGAAAAGTAAGAACAAAAATGAAAACTGATCCCAACTCTCTCCCTCTCTCTCTCTCTCTCTCTGTTTAATATGCTTAGAAAAATATATCAGTGGCATGAGCAATACCTTGGACATTCAAAACTCCAAGAAAGCCATCAACCGTGCTAAGTAAGAAATATTGTTTTCTAAAATAATATATCAACGAGAGCAATAACAATAATTCAAAACTGACAGGAATTGAAGAAAATTAGTTAAATATATTTCAAAACGTATACAATTTAACAAATCTAAGAAGTATCTGACGAAAAATACTTGAAATCAAATAATAGAATTAATTACAAAATCATTACAGCAGTCCACAAATTGTAGAGTACGCAATAAGAATTTATTGAATAATTGAGGTGGCAATGAAAAAGGAATGGATGAAGACAAAAATCCTAGTCCCCATGTCAATGGAAATAGAAGATGTACGGGGTGGATTTTCAACTTAGTTGAATTCCTAAACACGTTAGTTGGAGGGCAAATTCCTTGGACGAAATGTTTTTTGGAAAGAGAAGCTAGCTATGGACGGATCACAAGATTAAAATCATGTTGGTATTTCACTCCCCCGAAAGCAAATGAATGGATGACATCCATTACAAATGTGCTTCATGATTTAGTAAATATTATCCCCGATAATCATTTAATGAGAATGTCAACAAACTTTCCACTTATAATTATAAATGAAGTACATATTAGACCACTGTCAAGCTTTTCCTTTAAAAATAAAATATTAACTTCAATAGGCTTTCTATGACTAAGTTGTGCAAGATTATATGCAATATTGATGATAAACTTTTTATCACAAATTCACAATAGAGTCTCATATGATCTTTTCATTCAAAGTCCAACTTAATTTCTAACCATAACAATTTGTAGATTCCTAATGACATGTATCTAAATTTAACTTTTAAACAAAATCTTGTTATCATATTTTATTTTCCTTTCCCAAGTCACGAGGTTGCCTCCTAACAATATGCAATATCCTTTATTTTTACTTCCCCAAGTCACAAGGTTGCCCCCTAACAATATGCAATTTCCTAAAGTTGACCTGTCAACCATAAAACCCACACAATCCTCATTTATGTATGCTTCAAGAACGAAATCCTACCCCTTTTTTGATAGAATTCCACTATTATGTATTCTCTTCAAATATTCTTAAGAAGTGGCTCTTTAAAATTGTGCATGAATTAACTTAAAATTTGACAGCATGGATAATCATAGTTCTGATGCGATGGGTAGGAAAATCATCCCACAAATCATAGATAGGAGATTTTCTACATTATTGTCATATATAGCATCATAGATTTTATGATTGAATTCCATGAAGCTCTCAATAGTTAAGCATACCGACTTACCTGCTCTGAAAGTGTACAACCTTAATGTTAACAAAGCATTTCAACACTGACAAAATCTCTGGCTTCAAATTAACACAGCAGTCTTTTCTTTTAAGCCTTCATTCATTCAAAAATCACTACATGTCATGCTAATGCCATAAGCATAAACTAGCAAACTTCCCTCAAAAAAATATATGATCTCATAATGTGTACCTCATGTTGAGTATTATCTTGGAGACCCTTTCGAATCACATCATGTTGGAGATTGTTTCAACCCATATAATGTCTTTTAACAAATGCATACTTTATTTTTAGTTTTTATTTGAGTCAAATCCTAATGGGACTTTCAATACTTTCTCCTCTAGATCAGCATAAAAAGGCATTTTTCACATTGAATTATTATATCTTCCAATCCATATTAGCTACTTCGGATAAAAAGAACTTGAACAGCGTTCATTTTAGTGACTGAAGCAAAGGTTTAAAGATAATCAATCCCATATATTTTAGAGTTCATTTTGTGGCAGTAAATAATAGAAATAAAACTGGATCGATAAAGGCTGTAGTTATGGGAGATATAGGTGAAAGGAAAAGAATGAAATAATTAAGGTCATAAGATTATTGTAATGTAGTGATAAAGTCTGCATCTTTGAGAATATGAAGAAAAAAAGCCTAAAGCCCTGATAAGAATTGGAAAGAAGACTACAATCATAAGTATCTAATGGAAAAAAACATGAAATCAAGGAATAGAATCAACTACAAAGTAATTATAATAGCCCATGAATTGATGAGTAGGTAATAAGAATCCCACTAATCAACAAGAAGGCATCAGAAGACAATGGGAAGATGGCAGAAGTCCTGGTGATGAAAACCCAACAGGTACTGGCTAGCGAAGATCTAGCACATGCGGGCCAGACAACACACAGGCTGAATGGCAGAGCTGGCTGAAGGAGAATCCCTTCACAAAAATTATGCTGGGATATCTTAAAATACTTGAAAAAACTTTCAATTTCTAGCAGTACTGATGAAGTTGAAAACAAAGGAAAATGTGGCATATAAGTGATATACTCGAAAATTTATGTTATTCCAGGTCAACAAACAAACCACATAAAATTAAAGGGGCATGTACATACACACCACTCAATTCCTATGTATTTAGATATCTAACGCCTAAACTTTACATTTTACAAATAAATCACTCAATTCTTTTATATCACATCAAAGATGCCAATATTTGACATCTAAAAAGTCGAATACACCTTTACATGCATAGATAATGTGGCATATATGTAAAAATTGAAGTTAAGGTGTTAAACAAGTAAATACATGGGAATTGAGTGGTAAGTATGTAAATCTTCCAAAATTAAAAAACTGTAAACTTACAATCTCACATTGTAATAGAGCATTGGAGCAGCTAAAAGAAACATCATCCAATGGCCCGATACCAGAAAGAGCAAACATAAGATTCCTTGCAGCACAAACTCTGGTAAAATCACTGCATTTATACTTGAAGATGAATCGTATGGGTTAATGTAATCAAACTCTAGATCCGCCAAAGACATTAGCTGCCAAAATAAAATGTACAGAAGAGAGGAAATAAAATTAAATAAATGAGTGCAATTCAGTAAGAAAATGAAGTAAAACGCAAAACAACCTCACTCCTAAATAGACCTGTAAACAGATGTAACTCTTTCACACGCAAGAAAATGCACTCAACCTAAAAAGGGATGATAATAATGGATTGCACCTAATTATTCAGTTATCAATTTAATTCATTTCTTTGAGAGTTAAAGAAGTTTGCCATTGTTTGCATAAAGCCAAATCACGATGGCTTTTCCAGTTGCTTCGGATTTTCTAAACAAGCACAAATAGTTATAGAAGTACAAATTCTTACACAAGTACATTTCCCTGGGACAGTTGCATAAAGAAAGGAGAAAAGTGTCAAAATAGTCCCTTAATTTTTTGCAAGGTGTCATTTTAGTCGCAAAGTCTAGAAAAGTGCTAATTTAATCCCCAAATTTTTTTATTATGGGCTGAAATAGTTCCCACAAAGGAGTTACCCAGCCCAATTCAAAGAGCATGGGGACTACTTTGGCATTTTTATATATTTTGGGACTAAAATGGCCTTATGTAATAGTTAAGGGACTACTTTGGCACTTCAATCATAAAAAAAGTAACTTGTCTTCTGAAACAAGAGAATTACGATAATTTGTCTCATAAAGGTAGCACTTTTCTGCAGCGTACGGTTAGAGATTATTTTTATTATTTTCTCCTTTAGGTGAAAATTACTTATTTTCCTTTTCGTTCATTATTTAAGGGTGTAAAAGAGAAAATCAATTAAGTGCAAAACTATAGCTGCACTATCCATTTGTGATGAATAATTCCCTTCAATTTTCAAAGTGATTTTTAGTAGCTTTAGCAAGGATGAGCCCTAGTGGAATGCCGTTGTAAGCAAACGAAATCTCACTCCTTTACTTAAATTGATAACAAATAAAGCCAACTTTAAAATACAAAATACTTCAAGCCCACTTTCCACAAAGATACTTCAAGCTCACTTTCCACCAAGAAACTTGCTGGAAATTGCTAACTATGTTAGTCATGGCAAAAGTCTGGAAACAATTTGTAAAAGCATTGCAAAATAGTAAAAGGAAGATTTACATACATACCACTCAATTCCTATGTATTTACATATCTAACACCTAAAGTTTAATTTTGACATATATGTCACTTTACCTATGCATGACGTAGAAGATCACTCGGGATGGTTTCATTTTCAAAAAGTTAAAATAAAGGTAATTTTTATGTGATATGAACAATTTGGGTGGTATAAATGTAAAAAAAAAATTTAGTGTTAGATATGTAAATATATAGGAATTGGGTAGTATTTATTGAAACGCCCCAATATTAAATATTAGCTGTCATATCCAGTGTAGCTGGTGGCCCAAGACCTGACATGCTGTGTTCAATACTAGTCACAAAAGCCAAAGTAGGCAATGTTTATATGGAAGAAAACAGGAGAAATGATAAATGATAGAAGAAATAGACCATCTCGACAATCATTTATGTGATATAAACTCTCCATGTAACCATGCTCCGGGAACCAAATATCAATAGTACTATTTTGACCTGGCCTAAGCATAATAGTTTGTGGATGTGTGGTGATGCAAAAGTAGTATAGGATATTGATACTTCTCTAATTGAATATAGATAGAGAGCGCCTTAGTTATTTCATTTCTTGCTTTTATTTCGTGTATTGGGACTTTCTCATCTTTAATGGGGTATCTTATGAATTAGGTTTCATGTTATGATTAAATATATTGTTTAATGGTCGCTCTCTCCAATTTCAATTCTGAATGGTGTATTCACCAATCTGGAGGATTATACGCATGAATTTACGACATGTAAAATGTGGATGAGAAATTGATAACATGTGTTGTTAGTGATTAGTTTATGTTATGGCACATCTTATTTTGTTAGAGCAGAAAGAAGTACAGAAGCGGTTAGCAAAATGGGCACAGGATAAACAAAGAGATGAAAATATACAAACAGATCCAGCTCAACAAACAAAACCACCACAAACAGCAGTGTAAAGCAAGGAGACAAAGAAAAGCCCGTAAATGACAGACCCCCGCAACATTTCCAATTTATGCTCGAAGTAGTACTACCATAGCAGCAGTAGAATCTTCTTTACTCTAAAGAGATGAACTACTGCGTCTCTTTAACAAAATTTATAAGCGGCTCAAGTAAGAATGAAGAATTTGGCAGATAAAAAGAGAAGAGATGTCAAGTTCAAAGAGGATGATTTGGTAATGATCAAATAAGACCATACCGACAACATTCTTTGGCTATGAGATTGATATGAATTGATAGCAAAATCAGCAAACCAAATACAACAAAATGGCAATAGATAGGTGGAATAAACACAAACAGACACTGATCTTACGAAAATCAAAGAAAAATAAGCAAGATACAAGTTTGACCTACATTTCGAGAGATAGATCATCTCTCTCACACCCTAAACGTCACTAGAAACACCACACAAAGAAAGAAAACAGCAGCTAAACAAAAACAAGCATAAAAGAAAGCAAACCCTAGGTTCCCCCTATAATAGAATCCCTCACAGTATTTCAAAAACTTTAATTCCTAACTTTCCCTCTAAAGTCTTTTAATTTCTCTTCCTTGCATAGGTGAGTATGGCCCTAGTGGACCCCACCCTTTCCTTTCCCTCTTCTGCAGCTCCCTCTGTCTGCTCCCCTTCTTCCCGTTGCCAAGACCGGCCCGCCTGTGGGCCGGTTCCACTGCTTATAGCCGGTCGAGGGTGAACCAGCGCGTGTAAGGGCTGAGAGGGTATAACATTACTTCACTCCCAAAAAAAGTACATTGTCCTCAAAATGAAATGATGGAAATTGTTTGTGGATCACCTCGTAAGACTCCCATATTACCTCATAATCTAGCAGTTCATTCCATTTGACCAATACCTCCTTTGCTTCCCCTACTCCATGGCGCACTCCTTCGATCTCTAACGGTTCCAAAATTACCTCCAAGTATTTTTTCAGCGTCGGTCGTAGTTTAGGCGAGGGTGTGTGATCTCCAACCGCACGTCTAAACTGCAATACATAGAAGACAGGGTATAGTGCGGATGATGGTGGTAACCTCAAAAGGTAGGTCACTGCCCCAAAGCGTGCCATCACCTCATAAGGCCCAAAGTATCTCGGTGACAGTTCCTCGCTCCTCCTGACTAATGCCTTTTGTCAGCAGGGCCTCAGCTTCAAGTAGACCGTGTCCCCTAGTTTGAATTGCACCTCTTTTGTGCCCTTCCGATTTCCTCTTCATGATTTGTTGATCCGTCAGAAGATGTCCCTTGAGCTCTGCTAGTATCATATCCCTCTACAAGTACCAATCAACGCTGGATAAAAGTGTAGTGCCATGCCCATAATATATTAAGTGATGTGGATCCCTCCAATACAATGTCCAGAAAGGGGTTGTATGTGCTACGGTGTGGTACAAAGTACTATACCAATAGTTGGTCCATGCCATTCACTTAGCCTATAACTTTGGTATATCAGATACAAAACAATGCAGGTATGTCTCCAAACTACTGTTGACCACCTTCATATGCCCATTGGTTTGTGGAAAATATGCAGTGCTCCTCTTAAGGACTATCCCTTAAAGCCTGAATAACACTTTCCAGAAGTGATTGAGGAACACCTTATCCCTATTTCAAACAATTGATTCTAGTACTTTGTTCAAACAAACCACTTCCCGCCGCTGCGATTGAGACAGCTGTGAAGGGATGTCGTAAGGGAATGAAATGTGTATACTTACTCAAGCGACCACAATCACCATGACCGCCGTAAACCCTTCTGATTGTGACCATCACTCAATAAAATATATTGTCACTTCTTCCCAAACATTCCTCAGTAATGTTGATGGTTGTAGTAACTCTCCTAGTGTCGTAGTTAAGTACTTGTGTAGTTGGCATACGTTGCATTTTGCCACCATATTCTCAACGTCTTTGCACATCCCCAATCAATAAAGTTCTGCCGTCAGACAACTGTAGGTCTTCTACACCCCTGAATGTCTCCCGATCGCACTACCATGAAACTCTTATAATAATTTGGGAATATAATCCGACGACTGAGGTAGAACGAATCACCCCTGATGGAGCAGCTGTTGTCCCCTCAATGTATATCTTGTGTGACTGTTCGAATCTTTTAATAACTCGGCTCTTATTTTCCTCAGCTCCTAATCCTTTTCGCTCTCCTGTATTAAGGCTTCCTAATCTAGGGCAAATGATACCGATAAGGCCATCAGTCGAGGTTCATCCACCTTTCTCGACATTGCGTCTTGTTCTCAAGTCCTGACCAAGATACTGAATCTCGAAATCACACCCCAGTAGCTTGGAAAGTCATCTCTGATATTTCTCAGTCACCATCTGTTGTTCCATAAGAAACTCCTCTGACCTGTCCTGACCAAAAAATGTCATCACAACAGGTAGGGATGCCACTTCTGAATGACCAAGACGATTGTCATCAATTCCATTTCATACACTGACTATAGTTTCACTCTGGGCTTAAGAACCTGAATGAAGTAGGCAATCGCCCGCTGATCCAGCATGAGCATTGCTCTCAATCCATACTCTGACTCATCTGTCTTCACCACGAAGGATTTAATGAAATCTGAAAGTGTTAATACCGGAACACTAGACATGACCCTCTTCAAATGTTCAAATGTCTGTGTTGTTGCTTCTCCCCATTTGAAATTATCTTTCTTCAGCTGCTCCATTAGTGATCATGCTATCGTGTCATATCATCTTATGAACATCCGGCAACATCTAGTGAGACTCGTGAATCCTCTCAACTCCTTCAAATTCCTTGACAAAAGGCCAATCAACAAAAGCCTCAATCTTTGGACTGATCTACCGCTACCCCTGTCCTTAGATGCCCCACAAGCAGTCTCTGCATGACTGTAGATCAAAATGACGTCAAAGAAGACCAGGAAAAATTTCAGAAGATAAGGTTGGAACACCCTATTCATGAGAGACTGCATTGTCACCGATGCGTTG